AGGCTACACCAATACACTAGGCTACACCAATACACTATGCTACACCAATACACTAGGCTACACCAATGCACTAGGCTACACCAATACACTAGGCTACACCAATACACTAGGCTACACCAATACACTAGGCTACACCAATACACTAGGCTACACCAATACACTAGGCTCACCAATACAAGGCTCTCCCAAAACACTACGCTACACCAATACACTAGGCTACACCAATACACTAGGCTACACCAATACACTAGGCTACACCAATACACTAGGCTACACCAATACACTAGGCTACTCCAATACACTAGGCTACACCAATACACTAGGCTACATCAATACACTAGGCTACTCTAATACACTAGGCTACACCAATACACTAGGCTACACCAATACACTAGGCTACTATAATACACTAGGCTACACCAATACACTAGGCTACACCAATACACTAGGCACACCAATTTCACTATGCTACACAATACACTAGGCTACACCAACACTAGGCTACACCAATAACATAGGCTACCCAATACACTAGGCTACACCAATACACTAGGCTACACCAATACACTAGGCTACACCAAAACTCTAGGCTACACCAATACACTAGGCTACTCCAATACACTAGGCTACTCCAATACACTAGGCTACACAATACACTAGGCTACACCAATACACTAGGCTACTCCAATACACTAGGCTACTCCAATATACTAGGCTACACCAATACACTAGGCTACACCAATACACTAGGCTACACCAATACACTAGGCTACTCCAATACACTACGCTACACCAATACAAGGCTACCCCAATACCTAGCTACCCAATAAACTAGGCTACAACCAATACACTAGGGTACACCAAACACTAGGCTACACCCAAAACACTAGGCTACTATAATACACTAGGCTACACCAATACACTAGGCTACACCAATACACTAGGCTACACCAATACACTATGCTACACCAATACACTAGGCTACACCAATACACTAGGCTACAACCCAAAACACTAGGCTACACCAATACACTAGGCTACACCAATACACTAGGCTACACCAATACACTAGGCTACACCAAAACTTAGGCTACACCAATACACTAGGCTACTCCAATACACTAGCTACTCCAATACACTAGGCTACACAATACACTAGGCTACACCCAAAAACTAGGTACTCCAATACACTAGGCTACTCCAATAACTAGGCTAACCCAATACACTAGGCTACACCAATACACTAGGCTACACCAATACACTAGGCTACCAATACACTACGCTAAAACCAATACACTAGGCTTTCACCAATACACTAGGCTACACCAATAAATAGGGTACACAATACACTAGGCTACACCAATTCACTAGGCTACACCAATACACTATGCTACACCAATACACTAGCTACACCAATAAACTAGGCTAAAACCATACACTAGGGCTACCCAATACCTAGGCTACACCAATACACTAGGCTACTCCAAAACACTACCTACCCAATACACTAGTACACCAATACACTAGGCTAACCAATAAACTAGGCTACACCAATACACTAGGCTACTCCAATACACTACGCTACACCAATACACTAGGCTACACCAATACACTAGGCTACACCCAAAACACTACGGGTACACAATACACTAGGCTACACCCAATACACTAGGCTACACTTTTCCCTGCGAGGCACCATCCGCAGGACAAGACCACACACTACCAACAAACGAAGTCTCTCCCGTTTATACTCAAACAACAGTACGTCAAACCCTCAAAATTTATTCAATTCAAAATTTATTCTCTATAAGGATACAATGTGAGTTTCAGAATTTGTTTTGGTGGTTTATTGTTTGTTATGTGGTGTTACAAATCATATAGCATGGTAACTCTCTCTCTCTCTGTAGCACCAACAACAGAGCTCAGCTGCCACCATGCCCTCATTTGTGGAGGCGTGAGTGCTACGTAGTAACCCACGTAGGAGCCGGCCTTCACAACAGTGGCACTTGCCAGATTTGTAGTCCGTGTTGTTTTCATGCGCTGCGCAAGACCCTGACAACCCCGTACATTAGTGATGACGACTAAACTGACGACGCTTAAACTAGTTTGATTTCATAACTCAACGTAACCATAGAAAGAAAAGCTGCCTAATATGATTGTTTTTGTTTAGTTCAGGCTTAATTATATTCTTCACCTTAAAGGTCGCTACAATTTGACTGGAATTTTAAGTTGTTCTTTAAGGGTGCAACGGCTCAGGTTGGGTTATATAACTAGAAATGTTTCTTCATTGGAAGGGCCCCAATAATAATTTTTTTATTTACTACAAGTATGTACAAGGTATCAGTCCTAGCTGAAACCAAAACACCTCTACATAGAAAGCCCCTTGTTATGTCGCATGTCGGGCAAATAGGTCAGTGTCCAGGATGCGACCACACCCGTCGACAACACCAGGGGACCTATTTACTGAGGGAACATAGCAAAGGTGGAAAGAAACCCCCAATGTTTCTACTCTGGTGGGAATCGAACCAGGCCGTCCGTGTTTAAACAGAAACGTTAGCCACCAGGCCACCAGAAACCCCGGAACCAGGGTTACCGCCTCAAGGAATCAGCACCTCCATTGAATAGAATTAATATTATGGAGTAAACACTCACGGATGAGTGAAGATTAAACCCGTGCCCACAGCTCCATCAATACTTTCTTCACCTCGTCAAGGACTTTGTAATTTGTTGTGTGTTGTTGATATTGGTACCTTGTGTGGTGTTGATGTTGGTACCTTGTGTGGTGCTGATGTTGGTACCTTGTGTGGTGTTGATGTTGGTACCTTGTGTGGTGTTGATGTTGGTGCCTTGTGTGGTGTTGATGTTGGTATCTTGTGTAGTGTTGATGTTGGTACCTTCTGTGGTGCTGATGTTGGTATCTTGTGTGGTGTTGATGTTGGTACCTTGTGTTGTGTTGATGTTGGTACCTTGTGTGGTGTTGATGTTGGTACCTTGTGTTGTGTTGATGTTGGTACCTTGTGTGGTGTTGATGTTGGTACCTTGTGTGGTGTTGCTGTTGGTACCTTGTGTGGTGATGCTGTTGGTACCTTGTGTGGTGTTGATGTTGGTACCTTGTGTGGTGTTGATGTTGGTACCTTGTGTGGTGTTGATGTTGGTACCTTGTGTGGTGTTGATGTTGGTACCTTGTGTGGTGTTGATGTTGGTACCTTGTGTGGTGTTGCTGTTGGTACCTTGTGTGGTGATGCTGTTGGTACCTTGTGTGGTGTTGATGTTGGTACCTTGTGTGGTGTTGATGTTGGTACCTTGTGTGGTGTTGATGTTGGTACCTTGTGTGGTGTTGATGTTGGTACCTTGTGTGGTGTTGATGTTGGTACCTTGTGTGGTGTTGATGTTGGTACCTTGTGTGGTGTTGCTGTTGGTACTTTGTGTGGTGATGCTGTTGGTACCTTGTGTGGTGTTGATGTTGGTACCTTGTGTGGTGTTGATGTTGGTACCTTGTGTGGTGTTGATGTTGGTACCTTGTGTGTGGTGTTGATGTTGGTACCTTGTGTGGTGTTGATGTTGGTACCTTGTGTGGTGTTGATGTTGGTACCTTGTGTGGTGTTGATGTTGGTACCTTGTGTGGTGTTGATGTTGGTACCTTGTGTGGTGTTGCTGTTGGTACCTTGTGTGGTGTTGATGTTGGTACCTTGTGTGGTGTTGATGTTGGTACCTTGTGTGGTGTTGATGTTGGTACCTTGTGTGGTGTTGATGTTGGTACCTTGTGTGGTGTTGATGTTGGTACCTTGTGTGGTGTTGATGTTGGTACCTTGTGTGGTGTTGATGTTGGTACCTTGTGTGGTGTTGATGTTGGTACCTTGTGTGGTGTTGCTGTTGGTACCTTGTGTGGTGTTGCTGTTGGTACCTTGTGTGGTGTTGCTGTTGGTACCTCGTTGGTTTTAATTATACAGCATTAAATACGCATGTATTTATACAGAGAGACATTTATGTATGTACACATACATAAATTTTACACAAATGCCGTTTCCCAACATGATGGCCAATAGAAGAAAAAACACATTTACCATCACTCACTCCCTAGCTGCCCTTCCTGAGGTCTCAAAGACATGCTATAGCATAGCTACTCTGAAGGACCCCAGTACAGCGACTCATATATTATACAAGAGGCAGAACCACAACACAAACCAGCAACTATCCGTCAGAAACTGCAACGTAGAATTTTGGCCTCATTCAAAGGCCCTCTTCAGACGACAAGGGGGGTGGGGGGATGTCTCACGTATCGGTTAGGTTGTGATACTCAGAGCGTCTCTCTCTCTCTCTCTCTCTCTCTCTCTCCTCTCTCTCTCTCTGCCTTCCATCCCTGGGAACAACAACAACAACTACCTGACCTTGGGCTCGTGGTTGCAATATGAGATAATGTGCACTGTCTTCATGGTTGGTATGTGAACTGACACCATGAGTGTCACTGTCCAGCACTGTCTTTATGCGTGACGACGCACAGCAACACAGTATAAATGATGCAGTTATCAGGAAGATAAGAAACATGAACGTACTGAAGAAGACGAAGGAGGAGAAGGTGGAGAAGGAGGAGAAGGAGGAGGAGAAGAAACAGGAAGTACACACACACTCAAAGCACACAGATCTTAATAATACAGCTGACATCACTGTCCTCAAGCACGGGAGCTTCTCTCAAGAACCACCACTGCCTTACGTCTGGCACCACGTGGCGCCAGAAGCCAGGTGGTGGCACCAGAACGCATCTGAGGTCATATAATGCCACCTGGCATCGTACAGTAGAGGCATATGGCACTATAAGCCAGGTGGTGGCACCAAGACCCACCTAACGTCATATAATGCCACCTAGCGTCATACAGTAGCATCCCATGGCACCATAAGCCAGGTGGTGGCACCAGAACGTAACTGAGGTTATATAATGCCGCCTGGCGTCATACAGTAGCGCCACATGGTACCATAAGCCAGGTGGTGGCATCAGGACTCAC